TGCAAAACATGAACAAATACTACACTGAATAATCATCATATTGAATTGACAAAATGGCCATAAAATGGAATAACAATCACAATGAGTCAAATAAACAAAATTCCATTTTGTCATTTTATCCCGATCTATCAGAAACAACACACACGTTCATTCATCAGCGGTTGATCCAACAAACCAGATAACGTGTCTGTGAGATAATCACATTTTCAAACAATCACATTCACTACACAATTCTTAGTCATACTAATTTTCGAGTAACATCATGCATTATACATGAGAAGAACACATCGTTACACAAAAGCAACTCCACATTCTTTATTTTGTCAACGTCTTACTCACTCAGAATGCATCGATTGAGTACATTGGCTCGATGAGTGATCTGTACTTAGGAGATCATTCTCAATCGAGTCAAATGCAAACGACTGATATTTCTAGGTTGATATACATGAGAAAATGAAATATGAATAGATGAAATGGACAATCTTATCAGATTTCGTTTGACATTCCCATCTCTGATGACATCTTAACATGAGCTTAATTTGATGTGTAGCGAAAAGCATTTACGAAGATTGTTCACTAGTTCAATATGAATTGTTAGAACATACGTCATCTCAGGAACGTAATATCGACGAAAGTCTCTCACCGATTGATACTAACTGAATTCCAGTTCTAGATTTTATCATTTCACGTTTCACAAATAAATGTGTTGGTCGAACACATGTAGGTGAATAACACATGAGGATATTGCTCTTCATACAAACACATTGATATGTCAATAATTCCGATGAATGAGTGTTGATAGATGTCACACTCAGTGGTATTTGTGAGAGAGATGTGACGAACTCTCGATTCATGCACAACTCAGTTCTAGATGTATCTCATCTATATTGAAAGCAAGTGAAAGATATGACATATTATGACAAACATATTGTTTGATGTCAACTGGACAAGTGAGAAGTGTGACCAAATTCCTACCTACTGTGAATGGATATTCAACGACAGTTGTGAACAACGACACAAAACCAGTAGAGGAGAAGTCGGAAATTGCAACACTCTCAATAATACGTTTTTACTGAAGTTACAGGATGGGAGTGAAATAATGACACGATGAAACGTCATGAAACGTTTACTACAAACTGAACATTGGTCAACAGATTGGAATAATTACGCACCGTGTTTTTAATCTAATGGATAATGAATACTGTTGTGAATCGATTAATTCACAATAATAGCTACTAATGATTGTTGTGTACATGTTACTAGAACGATTGATTTAGTGATCGTTAGGCTTGTCCATACTGTCACACTTTCCCAAACTATAAATCATGATATCAAGTACACCAACTCTGTTATCTATTGTTAGCATACAGTCTTTCACAAATATGAATTTTTCCAGGTTGCTCTATCTCATTACCACGTCAATATGAAATTAGAAATGTGATTAATATACAAATCGAAACAATGCAGTAATAATAATAAGGAAAATATAACATTGAAGATTTGGTAGTGAAAGACAGAATTAAAAGGTATCTGTGAAGGAACAGGGGAACCAAAGATTTGAAGGAAGATGAAGGGCGAATGAACCTGTGCCTTTGGAATCGATCATAAGTTTTTTCGTCCAATGTTTTTGACTGCTATGAGAAGGTCACGTACTTATATCTAACTTCATATACTCTTCAACTAAATTATCGTTAATGAGTTAGTACACTAATGGTTCATGATGATCAAATGTTGAGACAAAATGTTTGTAGGGACAGTTTATTTATAGTGTTCAGTTCAAATCATACGAGCAGTATGCAGAACAGTAAATGAATCCGCTTTTAGTATTTCTCAAGCGAATATGCTTTTAGAAGAAAATGAGTCATCAAACGTTTCAATCAACTAATATTTAAACAGATCAGAGAATGAGATAGCAAGCTGATACCCAAGCACCGGAATACGAACTTACTTTTATAAACAAGAATATTTGTATGAAAGTATAAGCGAATTAATATGGGCCAATATAACAGTCTGTTAGCCTTGTAAGTTAAACTAAAGGCTTAGTTAATTTAAGGATTTACAAACTTGTTTGTGTATCAGGGTAGTATATAACCACAGACCAACGTTAACGCACTGACCCCAAACAGGCACTCCGTACCTATAAACATGGCGCAAACCATCAGTCAATGATTGGTTTCATGTTTCAGTTTTGCTGAGTCCAACGTTCTTTCAACTAACTCCTACACCAGTAAACATCATCCTTTGAGATAAGTGATGATTAGCGCTACTTAGTTGATGTCATAACCACTTGATTTGAAGATTTTCAATCCCTTTCAACAACTTTGTCTCCTATGCCTAGTACCTTATAAATAAACATAAAATCACTCACTCGGTTGTTCAACGAACCGTTAGCAACGTTTACAAGTCACCTATGATCGTAAATGTGCAACATACGCTTGTCTTCTATTGTAATATGGAGTTTTTTTTAATGAACATAGAGTATTACAGAACGGACTACTGTTCAGTACGCTCACCCTTTAACTGTCAGACGAACATCTAAAATATATCAAAACCGGTGCGAGTTCTAATTAGCCAAATGAACTATTGGGATCAGTGCCGAAATTTTGTTAGATGTCGACCCTATAGAGTCGATGAGACCATCAAGACAACAAAGTAGTCAATCGATTCAACCACTTAACTCGTTACCGTTAATTTAGGCACTGACGCTGAACGGTTCTGAAGCGTGATTATCAAAGAACTCTGGGGTCAGCCTTTTATATTCAGCTGCTCTACATCGTCTTCTAAACTTGTGTCAACCCCCTATTCATGCGGTCTGGCAATAAAATATAACTAGAGGTTAGCTTAAGGTCGGTTTAACTATTTCACAATGTTCTGCTTCATCTGTTTAACCTCATGGACCAAGCGTGAATAAAAGCTTCGTCTCTTTTTAAAACAGTCTTATTACCAACTGGCTTGTGGATAACTGTTAACCTGATTGATAGGTCTTTAATTCACTCACACTTATTGGTTGGGCAAAACAAAGTATAGATGACCTGTGAAATGGGACGTTACAAATCAGTATCATGTCAAACATACAATAAACCAATAGCTTGACAAACATACATAGTGAAACTGTTTTATACACGTTCACCGTAAATCAGCTTCATAACAATTTACTTTTCAGTTTATTCTCCCAATTTTTTCACACTTAACAAGTACCATCAAATAAAATATGCAGGACCCTCATTCAAAACTGGTTACATTTATGACCGAATATATGGTGGTAGTTGATTCGATTCAATGTTATCAAAAAGGTGTCACAAATAACACACACACACAGATATATGTAGATGATGTATTGGTAACTATCAAACTTGTCAAGTGTATTGTACTTGAAATTTCAGTCATTTCTACTAGTTTGTTTACAACATTGTGATACAGAGTAATGACTAGATGACAATTAGTTGTTGTTACGGCAACGGGTTAGACGAATATAAATATGCGATAATATTTGAAACGTTCGGAAAGATTTGTTACCAAAGAAAGAGGTGAGTATAAAGTTGTTCTTGTTCATCCTTATTACTATTGACTTACCCAATTGTGGTACTCGCTAAGCTTCTTCATACAACACATCATCTGTTGACGAAAATCACTAGTTACCCACAAGCAAATGTCTGTTGTAACTTCACTGTGCAACAAGCGCAACTTTCGATACATTCCTAGGTTTTGGCATACTGAATTCACAAAGTACTCAATTGTCATCTACTGTGTATGATTTTCTATTCCAACATGACAAACTGTCCATTCCATGGATTTACACCAACGATGGAATGTGCTGTACAGTAGAGTAGAGCATACATTTCTTGATATTTTCCGAAGTTTGAGTAAGGCTGATTCTCTTAAAACTTCTATTCGTGTTACACAGATCGATCTAATTTGTAAACAATCCATAACTCGAAAACCGTGTATCACATTGTCAGTAATCAGTGACATTTATACGTGACACAAGAGTACAAGAGTACACTTAAACCACAATTAATAATTTAGTTGGTGTTATACACAATGTGAAATAGTAAAATTTATTCTGCATGATCACATAACCACAAAACTGATTACTTCCTGCTAATATGCAATTTGAAGAAATCAAGGATATTTATGAATATTTGAAGAGGTAATGATTGTGAAGACACTGTCATTACTTGCACAATGCAATTATTCCCAATACCAGTGATTCATCAAAATATTTTGTTTGACATTCGTATGACTGTTTTGTGACTAGAGCCATATTCAGACTGAACAAATCTTTGCACTAAACAACTTGGTGAATTATAGTTGTCAGTACGTTAGGATTTGACTTCATGATGGATTCTGGAGTGTAGTGTTAGGAACCCGTGACTTATTGAATCGGGACACTGATTAAATGCCGTGATGTATTACAAACGAACTATATTGGAAATGTGAACTTGTTTATAGACTGATTGATGCAAAACATGTCGTGGTCTGTGTTAGGTCCTATGATACAGGATGGTTTCGTGAGAGTTGACTGCCACGAATGTGATGTTTCGAATTTAGATGTGTAAGAGTCCCCGCTACTTTTCAATTGTGTATAATTCTACAGTCAATGTTTATTTAATATTCATTGCTTTGTGCTCCAAATGCGCGTTTTGTATGAAACTAGTTAGTTACATAGTGTTAAATAGAGACTTCATGCTAAATGTTTCATATGTTGTGTTCTGTTTGACAGGTGTTCAGACTGAACGATGAGGGCAATGAACTGTTTCATATTACACATGCTGATATTCTCAGTCCTGTGCGTTCTGGTGAGCAGTTATATAAGTCCATCACGCTCGCGATCAGGTGCTAATCACTTGGAACAAGAGTTAAAGAAAATTGAACAATTGGGAGCTAAGCTTGAAGAAGACATGGTGATATTGAGTGAACAGATTAATAATCTGCAATGCAAGAACGAAAGTGGTAACGTATCGACGGTAAAGCGAAGCCTACAATCAAAAGTAGCATCGATGCAAGATCAGTACTCATATGGCCAACAGCAACCGATGCAACAACAATCGCAACAACAGCAACCGCAACAACAACAGTCACAACAACAACAGCAACCACAACAATCACAACAACAACAATACTACTCATCCAATAAGATGATGAAGAGACAAATGGGAGGGAAATTTAACCGCAATTCACAACAACCAATGAGCGCATACTCCCAATATTCTAATTCATACGGAGCACAGAGTGCATATGGACAACCCATTGGTCAATCACAAATGATGAAACGTCAATATCAGTCAAAACTAGCACAAGCTTTTCATCCTTCACAACAAGGTCAACAACAACAACAATATGGATATCCACCTATTGAGCATCACATGCAAATGGGAGAGATAAATATGCAACCTCAACAACTCCCATATTTACAACAACCTCAATATTACGATAACATAGGATTTGATGAAAATCAACAAGACAGTTATGAGCCTGTTGATGGGCCATATGTATATGATGACAACGACGAAGAATCGCTTATGGGTGATGTTGTGAAACGTGAATTGATGTAGACTGAAATTAGACTGAGAATGGAAGTGTTGGTAAAGATTTGAATGGAGATGAGCTAGAATGCTGTGATTACTTAGATAAATATTCACTGTTCATTTTCGTGTGTTTAAATATAATTGAATAGTTGCATTTCTGTTCAGTTTTGATTTTGGTACTGTGATCAGGTATCGGTTTACTAATCGAGCATACGTTGAAACATGATTCAGTATAGAACAGTGTTCCAATTTTGATGACGAAGATAACTGGTGTTTTAGTGTTAGTATGCGAAATCTGTGCCGTTTCGTTTTCTCGTTTGTTTTGTTAAAATCTCATCTTATCACTCAGAAGATGTTGATTAGTCAGTTTGACTCACTGGCTGAATTGCACGATTAATCGAATTTCATCATGAGATAGTTGAACTGTTTGAACTCTCTCTGTTCGAAATGGATGTAAGCCATCGATTGTGTTGTTAAGACTTTGATTAAATTTCCCCTTCGTGAGGAGTACCATGATGACAAGTCACGGAACCAATCGCGAAACCAATCGATGTCAGACGAAAGTGACACTTGTAGGAACAATTTTGTTCAACATGTTTTCATGAACATGACCAGTGTGAGATATGTAAAGCATGTCTACTAAACACATATCCACTACAACAATCAAGATAATTCTTTTATTAATAATACACTGAAGATCAATACAATTTAGCATGTTGCATGACTGATTGATGATAGTGTCATTATTCCCTACAGTTTGTAAGATAGTAATATAGGATATGTCTAATTATTTCTTGTTCATTCCAATGCAATTTTTCAGTGAACTGTGTGCGAGTGTGAATTATTTTGAGTAATTTGTAATTGGAATAATGATATTCGTGAATTATGAACTGTGAAGTGACACGCATTGAGAATCTGATGTCAATACTAATAATCAAACTAAAAATAATCTAACCACATAGGCATCATGATCAGTTTTGTGATAGGCCAAGATAAATTGGATGAACTAGATACTTTGTAAATACTGCATATCTAGTAGTCTTTTCACAATGTAGATGATGTCACTAAGTGGTCATGTAAACATAGTGTGTGTTGAAGCATCACCGACCAACTATTAAAATCACATAGGTCAATCTCCGTACAAATTCGAATAAACTGGATCACACTGAACAACGTCAATAGAATCCACGTTACTTCATCTACAGTGGTACTAGTTGTGGAATGCATTTGGCATACAATTTGTCATATCATTTCAACTTGTTGAACAGATACAATTGACAACCATCTGCTTGATTGTGTGCTACACTGACACACAGAGACACAACCAGCTTGCCATTCAACCATCTACAAGAAAGAATGTTGTCAGTGATGACAGATTGTGAATAGTATCCACTGAATGATGGAATGGAATGGAATGGAGTTGAAGGTTGGATTGTGATGCAAAAATCTTGAGATAACACAGTATGACCTTGTTGAGAAACATTTCCTCTGTATTAGAATGTGCTACTATTGAGAAGAAACATTTGGCTAGGCAATTTTCATTTTCACATGTCCGCATAAGAATCTGTTACTATTGAGAAGAACCATTTGGTTAGGCAATCTTCATATTTAGATGTGAATATCATAAAGTTATCGCACAACATCTCCTCGTTTATAAGAATACAGACCATCATATACATCTCTACTTATTGTTTGTCGAGTTCTTTACGTCTGATTTCCAGCTTGTGAAATCGATAGTTTAGCTTCAATAAAACATTGACCAAATGCATTTCTATGGAGATGAGTAGAATACCTGTAACTAATTACACAGTTTACCAACAAACATTTAGCAAAATGAATTGGCTTTACTTCGTTATTTCAAACATTCATTTTGTTTTATTTCGTGTTCTCTTATTGTATCGAAATGATGGCAACCACTTTCAGTCATTCTAGTAAGCATTTAGACAATTCACGTATATTGTGTGGTGTATTGCATTGAATGAAATATTTGTGATCGACTCACTCACTGAGATACACGTACAGTGTTCCATGTGGATAAATGAGATTCATTGGAATCTGTTATATTTGTGGAAATGGAATAATCGTGGAATTAGTCGGATATGTGCAACAATAGGTTTTCCATGTTTTCGTTGTTAGATTGGACGTGAGGTATAGTGGACCGTTATATTTAGTATTTATATTTTGTCAATATTCATCCGATTGACAATGATGTTGTGTTGATTTTGGAAATGTTTAGACGAAAACAGTAAACATTTGTCAATAGTTTGACATGAGTAGTAAGGTGGGGATAACGAAGATACTCTTCAGGACCTTCAGAGATCGAGGCACATACATTGATTAGTTGAGAAGGGGAAATGGAATGTTAGGATGAAGAATGATAGGACATATCGTATTAGTCTTTGTGAGTATGTGGTCATCAATTGGATTGTACAAATAATGGTCATTGACATCAGTAACTGATCAATTTTGACTCACCATTGAAGGCCTGAAAGCATTGAACACAGATTGTTTGAGTATGTGACTCCTCAGTGTTCTGCATTCATGCCCACAAGCGTGAGAATCGAACACACGACATTCGGTTTCGTGAGCAAGTACTCAATATGTATACCATTTAGACAGTGTCGAACAGTGTCAATATTGAACGTCAATGAATATACGATATTTCGCGACCACCTTCTATTGTCTTTGGTGGGTGAGAGATTCAGTCCTGACAAGGTTTATCTACACTGGTCAAGACTTCTCACTAAAAATTCTGAAACTTCCTCTCGAAGCTACTAGTTACTAGTTAGCACGTGATCACTTTCACCATGGTGTTATTGAGCTTGTTGAGTTTCGTTCAAAGTAGGAAGCGATTTAACTCAGACCACTGTTGAAAACCTGGAATACTGGATGCCTGTTTCATCCTAGTTCTGTTGATGGTTTCAAGCACATTCAACATTCTCCACAACCACAAACTGAACATTATTTTCAAATCATTTGCACAACAGTTTACTATTGTAATCCATACATATTTCGTCCATTTGAGTTATATAGATTCTCTGAGCAAAGAATAAACGTGAGATACGTGTTCATCTAATTGACGAGTAAGAGATAGGATGAACGATATGCGTATATGTTAACCATCATCCTTATCACTTGTTACTTTTGAAATATTTCAATGTAAGTCAACCTACTGAATTGTTACAAGTAGTAGAAATTAATCAAGAAATGAAGTTAAAATGTGTTGGATGGATTTAACATCTAATAACTGTGAAACATCAGACTCCTTTTTCTTAGAAGATCGATGATTGGGAGTATTGACTGATGATTTTCATTTTAATTGTTTTCTTCTTGTATAACCATAACTTCATATAATTTAATACAATAATTTAGTCTCACTTCGTTAATCAATAAAACGAAACGACCGTTCAATTCTTCTACGTTTTCCTTGGTGGTCTAGCTTCAATTGACTCATGATCTCAACTATTGAAATCAAGACACTCGTTAGATTGATTAGAAACTGTGTTCATCGTTCTAGTTATGATTTAGACAATTCACAAAGATTGACAACTGAAACAATTATAATCTATTAGTAGAATGTTTGTTTAATGATACTAGTGCCAAACAAATATAAACTGAATTTGTATATCGTGTAATGGAGGCAAGAATATAAGGTCTATAAATGAAATAAAGTCAGAACTAATTGCATGAAGTCTATAAATCAGATTACTTCACAATTTATGTCAGATATTTATTATCAGAATCGGGGTTTGTGGAGATTGTAACAGTTTTAATAGTTGAGTCGATTTAAATTAGACAACAATTGCAAACCTGAAAGCACTGGACATCTGTTACGTTCCAGTATGAGCCTACTCAACAATAAGCATCCATGATCCCGAAAGCGGGATACAAACCTAGGACATCGAGTCTTGAGTAAGCACGCTTAAACTCTAGACCATTACGCTGACGTGTAACGGTGTGAAAGTCTAACTTAGAACCGATTAATTCTAGGAGAAGATTTAAGTAACCAATGTATATATATATATATATATATATGCACACAGTTGCATAAGTCTGGATTCAGTGGTAATCCCGAAAACTGGTTGGGGGTTCAAATGACAAAATGGACGAGAAGAAAATAACACACATTGAAGAATGACGTGAATAGTCAAAGAAATTTATTACTATTATGGGATACTGCCGGTCCCACGCCCAGATAAACGAGGAGGGTTGGGTATGGGGTTAGCGACACTATCCCGTAGAAAACAAACTCGCTAAAAAGGGCTAACAAACAGTGAACAACTAACACACAATCATGTTCACCAAACTGTATGATTTAATTAGAAATTAGAAAATTCTCACGAATTCACATCTGATGAAGTGTAATACTTAGTTAAGGGTTCAACTGACAAAATAGAAGAAAGAGAAGAGAATAATACACATTGAAGAATGACGTATAAAACGTGAATAGTCGAAGAAATTTATTATGAAGTATATGTGGAAGAGAACGATAATGATCGGTTATTTTCTTAGTTGAATTTGTCGATAGTCTGACGTGCGTTAGATCAGTTATATATTCCTCCATTCTTATTATTATTCTTATTACTGACTGACTATTGGTTGCTGTTGGATTGTTGTCGGTTTTTGGTGTGGAAATATACTTACGTTCTAGTCAGGTTTAACACGTGTTCTTGATATGAGTTTTGTTGAAGTCCTGTACAATAGACACTGAGAGGGAATCTAGTATAGATACTTGTTTAAGGTAAATTAACGTTCCATTTGTGTAAACATGGAAAACCAAGTGTTATGACAGAACGGTTTCAAACAAACAACTGTTCACAAGAGAAATTCATCCATCTTATTGTCAAAAGTGAGGAGATTTCAAATAGAATTGATAATATAATTAAAGAAGAGCTAAAATGATGTTGACCTCAAAACCATCTATTTCCATCGTATAACACTAGATCTTCCAGAAACCAGTCAAAAGTGAATCAATACACTTCTGATGTTACCTTCAAATATCCATCCATTAACTGACATGTGATTGT